CAGACCAAGTCATACCCATCAAGACCAAGATTGAATACTTTCAGTCAAACCATATTACAATTTGCTTTTATTTGATACCCATATTAAAAAAAATTATCCCCCCCCCTCCCATACACACCCAGATCAAGTCAAACCAATCAAGACCAAGAATGAAGAATTTCAGTCAAACCTTATTAAAATTAGCTTTTATATGATACCAATATCAAAAAAATATAATTTTTACACCATACACCCCCCCCCCTCCACCTACCACCCCCACACTCCAGACCAAGTCATACCCATCAAGACCAAGAATGAATACTTTCAGTCAAACCATATTACAATTTGCTTTTATTTGATACCCATATTAAAAAAAATTATCCCCCCCCCTCCCATACACACCCAGATCAAGTCAAACCAATCAAGACCAAGAATGAAGAATTTCAGTCAAACCTTATTAAAATTAGCTTTTATATGATACCAATATCAAAAAAATATAATTTTTACACCATACACCCCCCCCCCCATACACACCCCAGAACAAGTCATACCCATCAAGACCAAAAATGAAGACTTATGGTCAAACCTTATTAAAATTAGCTTTTATTTGATACCCATATCAAAAAAAAATTAATTTATACATACTCACCACCCTCCACCTTCTAGATCAAGTCATACCCATCAAGACCAAGAATGAAGATTTCAGTCAAACTTTATTAAAATTAGCTTTTATTTGTTTACCATATCAAAAAAAATTATTTTTTACACACACCCCCACACCCCAGAGTTATACCCATCAAGATCAGGAATGAAGACTTTCAATCAAACCATATTAAAATAACTTTTTTTTGATACCCATATCAAAAAAATTAATAATTACACCCCCCACCCCCCACCCCCTTCCCCAACCCCATTCCCACACCTTAGACCAAGTAATACCCATCAAGACCAAGAATGATAACTTTTAGTCAAACCATATTAAAATTAGCTTTTATTTGATACCCATATCAAAAAAAATTATTTTTTACACACATCCTTCCCTCCCACCCCCCCAGACCAAGTCATACCCATCAAGACAAAGAATGAAGACTTTCAGTCAAACCATATTAAAATTAGTATTTATATGATGCCCATATCAAAATAATTATATTTTACACACAATCCCCCTCCCCACCCCCACCCACCAGACCAAGTCATACCAAGCCAAGAATGAAGGCTTTCATTCAAACCTTATTAAAATTGCTTTTATTTGATACCCTTATCAAAAAAAAAATTTATACCCCCCCCTCTTCCCATTCTCTACCCCAGATAAGTCATAGACATCAAAAGAATGATAACTTTCAGTCAAACCATATTAAAATTAGCTTTTATTTCATACCCATATCTAAAAAAAATTTTTACACCCCCCCCCTTCCACCATCACCCCTCAGATAAGTCATACACATCAAGACCAAGTATGATAACTTTCAGTCAAACCATATTAAAATTAACTTTTATTTCTTACCTAAAACAAAAAAAATTATTTTTTACACCCTCCCTCCTTCACCCCACTTATACCCCCCAGACCAAGTCATACCCATCAAGACCTAGATTGAAGACTTTCAGTTAAACCATATTAAAATTAGCTTTTATTTGATACCCATATCAAAAAAATATTTTTTTACCCCCCCCACCCTCACCTCCACCCCTCAGACCAAGTCATACCCATCAAAACCAAGAATATAGACTTTCAGTCAAACCTTATTAAAATTAGTATTTATTTGATACCCATATCAAAAATATAATTTTTACCCCCTCCCCCTACCCCCACACTCCAGACCAAGTCATACCTAGTGTTGTAAAAAAGTCCAGTTCTCCCGACTCAGCAGGTCTGAGTCGTTAGTCGAATTAATTGACTCACTGAAGTCGTGAACTTGTGTCGTGAAGTCCGTGAACTTAAGTCATGAACTCAAGTCGACTCGAATCGTAAACTCCAGTCAACTCGAGTCATGAACTCAAGTCGACTTGAGTCGAGAACATTAGTTTTCCACTTGAGTTCTTGACTCGAGTTCACAACTTCAGTGAGTCGACTAATTCGACTAACGACTCAGACTCTGAGTCGGGTGAACTCGACTTTTTTTTACAACACTAGGTATGACTTGGTCTGGAGTGTGGGGGTAGGGGGAGATGGTGTAAAAATTATATTTTTTTGTTATGGGTATCAAATAAAAGCTATATTTAATAAGGTTTGACTGAAAGTCTGTCTTGATGGGTATGACTTGGTCTGGGGGGTGGAGGTGAGGGTGGGGTGTAAAAAATGAACTTTTTTGAATTTTTTTAAAGTAAATCGATAAAATTATATATTGTAAAAATGTTAAATTAAAATTTCATAGAATATATACCATAGTAAAGTGACAATTGTCATAATCGTTATTTTTTAACTTTTTTTAATTTTTTCAAAGCAAATAAGTAAAAATATATATTGTAAAGATATTAAAATAAAATTTCAGTAAAGATTTACCATAGAAAAGTAACGATTGTCATAATCATTATTTTTTAACTTTTTTGAATTTTTTTAAAGTAAATAGGTAAGAATATATATTGTAAAGATGTTAAATTAAAATTTCAGTGAAGATACCACAGAAAAGTGACAATTGTCATAATCGTTAGTTTTGAACATTTTTGTTAAAACGAGGTGACTTTTAGCCTACGTCCGTTTATCATATTAGGCGAGTAGGAGAGCACACTTTTTAATTACATAACCATTTAAATTTGAAAGTAAGTAGATTGATTTGTAAATCTACACGTATAAATAAATTTCTTGATTTGAAAACTATTTAAATAAAAATAAAGATTAAGTTTTGTTAATTGGTTAGTTGTGTAACCCTCAGACCCGTGGTTTGGGTCTAAAAATTGACTAAGCCAGTTCTGATCACGAGCCTCTGGGGTTCACACACTTAATTGCCACGCCTAAAAAATGCGAACATGTATTTTCTTTAAAAAATATTACAAAACGATACTGAATTTGTTATTATTTATATAAAGTATTTAAGAATAAATGTGGGGGGGGGGGGGGGGATTAACTAAACCTTTTTTCGCAAAATCGATTTTCATAATTCTTCCTCAAAAAAAATTTTTCTCGCAATTGATCAGACGTACCATGTTTTCTTTAAAAGTCAAAACAAATCTTTTCCTCTTTTAATAATTTTTTTCATAAAGGCAAAAACATAATCATGGCACATTTCCCCTATAATGTAAATATTATTTTTAATTTCATATAATAAAATATCGAATCCCGGAAAAAACCCCCGAAAAAACCTCGGAAAAAACCTCCTGTTAGGACCTAATAATATCGGTATATTTTTATTTGGATTTAATAAAGTATAGGCAAATTAGTATTTTAGAAAAAATTATTATAGAAATATAATTTAATAATAAATTTTCTTAGGTCCCAATTCATTACTTAAAGATTACTCATATACCCCACATAAAAATTGCTGATGTTCAAATTGGTACTGGGACAAAAAAATACCCCAGTAAAATAACCCACGTATTACTAATTTTCGTAAAAATTATTTGCTATAGTAATAAATATAATTTGATAAAATTTACAATAAGATCTGTCTATTTAATTGAAAAATCATTATGTATATTAAAATTTAATAATTTAGAATAATAATTATATCGGTTGACATCAAATAAAGGTGAAAATCGCCCTCATAAAATCTAATCTGGAAGGTTTTGCACCCTATCACGGTATTCCTCGCAAAGTTTCTTTAACCGAATCTGGGTATTATAACTCTGCGATTTTGTTTTGGTGTCCAACTACCTACACGCCATCGTTCAAGTTTGGTTTCATCGGCAGCAACCTCGCATTTCATTTTATTATTCAATACCCAAATTGATGAGCGTTTATTTCCAACCAGATATGAAAAATGATGATCCCAACCTTCGCATTGATTATTTGTGGGTTCTTCATCAGATACGGTGCTCTCATTCACGTTCCAAGTTTCTGGAGAAAATCGAGGCCCAATTCGACATGTCTGGGATTGAGAATTGCTTCTTGTGACCTCCCGTGACTCCATTGATGTAATATTTATCGAAATATTCAAGAATATCTTTACCAGTGGTTATGCCATTGCATTGCCCATATCACATAAAGGAACAAATGCTAAGCCGTCCCTCATGCTACAAAAGAAGCCTAGGGCTTCGTCGGTTCTGTATTGGCTTTCCAGACCTAGCTTTTGTAGTTTTCTATGGGTGACAGAAATGGTAAATCATCCTCTGATTATAATATGATCCCCTAATTGGAAAAACAAATATAAATAATTTAACTTATTAATGATCATACCAATGACAGTTTTAACCTCGCTCATAGTAAATTTTTCGAAATCCATGTACATATATAATGGATCAGGGAATAAATCCCTTTCTTGACATTTAGATAATATTATTTCGAATATTTTTTCGTAAGATTTTGATTTTGGGGGTGGGGGGGGGGGGGGGTACTGATATATAATTGCAGAATTTTTTTGGGGACATAAAATTTCCACCCATATTAATATAATATGCCATGAGCACTCACTTATAAATTTATTTATCAAAATTAATTATTGCTAGGTTATACTAAAAAAAATTAAATGAAAATTGAGAAGATAATAAATTGATCTGAAAAATAAAGATTAAAATAGAAAATAAATGACCAATCCCTCCACCGTCTCTCTCTCCCATTGTTATTTAAAATTTGTAGCAATAGCAAGATTTTTTGTTTCTTTAAATTATTTCAATTAAAAATGTATTATTTATATATTTATTCTTAAATTTCATAGATTATAGCGCCTCGATGGCACCAGTAAGTTTTTTTTAAATATTTTTTAAAAAAAAATTCTTATTTTAATAAATGGTTCAGTCTCAAGGCTACACCCTTACTAAAAATTTCATAATTTAGCAAGCATAAAAAAATATTCGATTTAAATTATGATCAAAAAAAATTTTTTTTATTATTTACTCGGTATCGGTCCGATCCAATGACATATAATATACCTAGACTGACGATTCATTCATTAAAATGCATTTTTAAGCGTCGTTAAAAGCAAATCAGCTGGACCCGCCATTTTGGTAACAGATATCATTATTAAAATTTTAAACGAGAGCCTAATTTATTACTATATCTGAAATTTTTCCTATGATACTTAACAAAGAATTTAAATCCACATCCATCTGCATTAATGGTACCATCAAGGATCCTATCCCACAAATATTCCAAGGCTATTCTTCCAAGAAGATATATATTTAGCAGACCAAATTCAAATAATTTAAAATTATATGACTAAATTATTAAAATTTATATTTTAAACATTTTTTTATACATAGAATATAAAGTATCTAATAAAGTTCCCTTACTTATCATTTGTTTTTCTTAAGACACAATATAATTGTTTTTAGTTTCTATTCTATTCTTAAAATATCTAATAAGGTAGATATATTTAAATCATTGCTTAAATTTATGTTTATCTTAATATGAGACTTTACTTGCACTTTTAATATTTCGAATCATACAAGGGGATAAACTGAATCATCAGGATTTTTATTATAAATATTCCGTATCGTCCCGTAGTCTCGAATTATTATTAACTTTATACGTTTTGTCGCTTTACGAAAAGGTGAAAAAAGGTGAAATTGAATTTACAAGCTAAATACCATTTTTCAATAATCAACCCAGCATAATACTTTGAGTTTATATAAATAGGAAGTATAAAGGTAACCAATTTTTTTTAAACTATTAATTAAATATGACAAGGTGATATTTTATACTATTATAATTACTTAATTATATTTATATAGATGGCTATGCCTAATCACTTTTAAAAAGTTTATTGAGATTTAGATTAAAAAAAAATAATGATGATATATTCAAAAAAAGTTTGCTATATATATTGACAATGTAATTTATATAAATTGATTAAAAATAAAAAATTGAACATTAGTTTGTTAAGTAAATTGATTTATAAAATATAAAATTTTAATATTAGTTTATAAACAATTTGATTTAAAATATAAAAGTTGTTTTTTTAACAAAAAGAAAGAAACTGATTTATAAAATATTAGTTTACAAACAAATTGATTTAAAATATAAAAGTTGTTTTTAACAAAAAGAAATTTTAAGTTACGCCATAAATGGCTTAAGGATAAAAAAAAATAATTTTTTAAAGTTAATATTATTTAACATTTCACACTTTTTTTTTTTAATTTTTTTTATTTGCCCTCTGTCTATAATTTAGTTGTATGTCATTCTTGCTCGTTAACCCCTTCGTTGATCTTTTGTACGTTTTATCTATTTAGTTCCACACACAAAATAACTAATTTTGTTTTAATATAAGGAAGAGAGAAAAAAAATTTATTATCAAATTTAATTCATTATAAAATTTTCAAATTTTCTAGGCAACACAGTATTTCTAACTGGTCTTTGATTCTGATCATTTATTTGTACGTTTTGGTTTCTTGTTTCATCACCTCTCCTTCTAAAATTCAATGTATAAGGTGATGCATTATTATTAACATTCGCTTTAAAAACTGTTGCACCATTAGAAGAAAGTTCTACATTAGTTGATCTTCTTTTTATTTGGTCCAAGTGTCTTTTTATAATTTTGTTCCCAGTATCTATATCATACAACAAATTTCCGTTTTTGCGCATTATTGTACCTTTTTCCCAATTATTATCTTTAAAAGTTTTATACCATATGCTGTCTCCTATTTCTATATCCCTATCTATTGATATCTTGCGATTTAGTATATGATGTCTTTCATCCCTCGGTTTTATCAACTCCCATTTTGTCCTAATCATTCTGGAGAACATTACTTCGCTTGGTATTTTGTTGGTCGTTGCGTTGGGTGTATTACGATAATTAAAAAGAAACTTTTCTAGAGCTATGTCTACGTCTATTTTATTATTATTTTCCATATTCCTTTTCATATTCATTTTCATTGATCTAATCATACGCTCACATTGGCCATTGGACTGTTGGTGGTGAGGTGCGGTGAGCAAGTGTTCGATTTCATGATCTTCACAAAATTTCTTGAATAATTTACTGGTAAAGTTAGTTCCATTATCACTGACTATTCTATTAGGTATACCAAATAAACTTATTATTTTCATCAATTCTTTAATCGTTGATTCCGTAGTTGTGTTTCTCATTCTCCTAATAATAGGAAATTTGCTGAAGGCGTCAACACATACCATAAAATTATTATCTTTGAACTCTGCAAAGTCTATGTGTACGCGCTCGAATACTTTCGTTGCTGTTTCCCATGGGTTTTGAATATTATGAGGATTGTCTGCGTATTTATTGCAAGCATCGCAATTCTTTACCTCCTGATCTATTTCTGTATTTAAACCAGGCCACCACAGATACTCTCTCGCTAATGATTTTGTTTTTCCAGCACCGAGATGCCCATTATGCAACTCTTGCAAAATCTCTTTTCTCATACTTTTCGGTATTATGATCCTATTCTCTTTAAAAAGGCAACCTTTGATTAAACTCAATTCCAATACCATATTTTTATACGTTTTGTTCTTTATCTGCTCATGATTCCTTATATCATTAATTACTTCCATTAGTTCTTGATCAATATTAGTTTCTTTAACTATTCTTTTAAAATTTATTGGTGTGTCCCAAAAATTGTCATCAATTATTTCGTCATCTAACTTTTGTACCATCTCTTCTGTATTCATTAGTGGTAATCTGGACAAACAGTCTGGTACAATATTTCGTTTCCCGGGTCTGTGAACTATCGTAAAGTCATGTGCTCCCATAGCCAAGTTCCATTTTTGGAGTCGCATTGATATGGAAGAATTGTCCTTGAGTCCCTTCGTAAATATATACACGAGTGGCTTGTGGTCGGTAATTATTACAAATCTTGTGCCTATTAAATACTCCTGGAATTTTTTAACCGCGTAAATTACCGACAAAGCTTCTCTTTCGATATTGGTATAATTTAACTCTGATTTCAATAGTGCTCTTGACGCGAAAGCGATGGGTTTTTCTTTGCCATCACCCTCAATATGAAATAAAACTGCGCCTAACCCTTTCTTTGAAGCATCAGTTGCAATGCCCACTGGTAGATCCGGGTTATAAAAATTTAACGTAGGCGGAGTGCTTATGAGTTTTTTTAGGTAATCAAAGCTTTCTTGATGTGTACTATCCCATGACCACTTGTCTTTATTTACTATTTTGTATAAGGGATCGGCGATGTCAGCAAAATTGCACAGAAATTTTCGATAATAGCTCGCCATCCCCAAAAAAGTTGCCAACTCTTCTTTTGTCTTAGGTTCCGGCATATTAGAAATAGCCTTTATTTTATCTGCGTTCGGATGGATTCCATTGTCGTCTATATCGTGACCTAGAAACCGTAGTTTTTTTTTAAGAAATATACTCTTAGTGAAGTTTGGTGTAAGCCCATACTTTGATATTTTGTCAAGTACCATTTTTATGTTGTTCACGTGAGCTTCATCATCCTCCCCAGTAATCAATAAGTCATCAATATAAAACACGACGTCTTTCATGTTCCCGAAAATGTTATCCATGGTTTGTTGGAATATTGCTGACGAAGTTTTTAATCCAAACGGAAGTCTTGTAAACCTGAAATAGCCTTTATGAGTTGAAATAGTGAGAAATTCTCTTGATTCTTTGTGTATTGGAACTTGAAGAAATGCATTTTTAAAGTCGATCTTTGTAAATTTCTTGCCTTTCGATAACTTTGCCATAAGGTCATTAATGCGTGGAATTGGGTACTTGAAATTCTCTAACGCAGGATTAATAGTATTCTTGAAGTCAACACATAGCCGAATTGAACCATCGCTCTTGACAACAGGAGTGAGAGGACTGGCCCATCTTACCTCTTCAACAGGTTCGATTATTTTGTCGCTTATCCACTTCTGTAGTTCTTTTGTAACCAATTCCATTCTAGAATAAGGTACACGCCTGGGAGGTATGATTTTCGGTGTAGCACCTTGTTTTAGATGTAGTTTGATATAATTGCGTAGTATTGGTTTCTTGCTAAGTTTTGACTCGCATTGTTTGATCAGTTCTTGAATAGTATTGTCATAATCTTCTTCGACTAAGTTTACAAATCTATCTAGTATATTTCTAAAGACTGCTATCCAGGTCCTTCCTAACAGTGCAATCTTATCACTCTGGACTACATAAGCAGTTAAGATTTGACTTTTGTCTTCGAATTTTGCCTTGACTTTGGTAGTTCCTAAAACATTTATTGTGTTTCCATCATAACCAGTTAATTTAATATCTGATTTATTTAAGATTTTTACTCCAATCTTTTTCGCGATATGAATCGGTAGAATACTATACTTTGACCCGGTGTCGATCTGCATCAAAATAGGCATCTCATTCAAATATACCGTGACCTTGTAAGCATCGTTAGCTGTGTAATTATTATCGGTATCCATATTGTTTATGTCTAAATTGTATAAATTATATTCTTTTCTTTCTAGTTTGTCATTATCATCTTCTTTTATCTCTTCTATATTAACAGTGTTTACTTTATTTGTATATCGTGATTGATTATTGTCGTTGTTATGATATTTATAATTGCATACTTGATTAGTTCCTCGATTCCCAATATTATGATTATCATTATATCTTTGAATACATCTTGAATCGTTATAATGTCTGTTATATCTGTAATTGTAATCATTATTAAATCTATTATTATTATAGTCATTTTTAATATAACTAGTTCTATTATCAAATCTCGAAGAATTATTGTACGATCCTGGATAGTTTGCTCTGACGTTGTAATAATTCGCGTTATAATTCTGATATCTAGGGTTGTAATTATTTACTTGGTAACTGGGGTTATAATTATTTCCTTGATAAATATTTCTTTGAAAGTCATGGCCTCTTGCTGTCCATCGTTGTCTGTTATCGTAATTAGATTGTAAATTTCGTCGTTCATCATGGTCTCCATATCTCACCAATTGTTTATTTTCTTCTGTTTTCCTGCCTCTTTGCCTTTCTATATGTTTCACGGTTGTATCATTTTCTGTTTTTTCGTTTAAAGAAATATTTTCAACTTTAGCAATTATATTTTCTTTTAATTCTAACTCTTCAAAATCATCTCTTAAAGTAAGAACTTCTTCTAATGTAATGTTTTCTTTTAATGTAATTTTCTGCCTAATATTTTTGCTGATTGACGAAATTTTTACTTTTTCAATAACTCTACTATCACTTAGCAAACATTCATTTTTTAAAATGCATAATCTACTTACCCAATCGATGTAACTTTCGTTTTTACCTTGTACAGCTGCATTAAATAATAATAAGTTGGAACTTGTAGATTTCCTCGGGTGTAATAACCTGAATTTTTCAATCAATATCGATGGATTGATGAAGTCGGTAGGTGAACATATCGATTTAAGCTTGATGTATACCTCATCTGGTAATCTTCTTGTAAAGGAACCCGCTTTTTCGATGTCCGATATCTGATTGTCCTTGAAGATGTCTTCAAATCTACTCAAAAAAAGATCGCCATTGCCTGCGTATATTGGAAATTCAATAATTATATTAACATTATTATTGGGAATCTGTTTCATATTTATTTATTTATTTACGACTTCCTCGAATAAGTAGCGGAACTGCCACCATAAAAAGTTTATTGAGATTTAGATTAAAAAATAATAATGATGATATATTCAAAAAAAGTTTGCTATATATATTGACAATGTAATTTATATAAATTGATTAAAAATAAAAAATTGAACATTAGTTTGTTAAGTAAATTGATTTATAAAATATAAAATTTAATATTAGTTTATAAACAATTTGATTTAAAATATAAAAGTTGTTTTTTTAACAAAAAGAAAGAAACTGATTTATAAAATATTAGTTTACAAACAAATTGATTTAAAATATAAAAGTTGTTTTTAACAAAAAGAAATTTTAAGTTACGCCATAAATGGCTTAAGGATAAAAAAAAATAATTTTTTAAAGTTAATATTATTTAACAACTTTAAAAAGCATAAAGACTATAATAGCTTTACTGCTTACTTTACATGCACAAATAAACCATGCCTTGGACGCTGGATTGTTAAGAACAATTTATTTACCATGTCCAAAGAGTGCACGAGTATATTAATTATAGATAAATTTTATATTAATATATTATAGATGCAATCTGCCTTCAAAAAAATTATTTTTCTGTAGGATGCCAAAGTAAAACCTATTTATATCATCCTTTAACATTATTTACCTCTTTATTAAAGCTTCCATTTCATATGCAAGTATTGGATGTCAAAGTAATACATTAATTTTATCTTATTTACAAAATAAATACAATATATTTATTATATCAATTATAAAGCTATTCAAGATGATATTCCTATTCTCACCAAAGAAGCTGTTGTCAGTGAAAACAATTATGCATCAATTCCATGTAAATATAATATGATTAATACATTTACTATATCAATTATAAAGCTATTCAAGATGATATTCCTATTCTAACCCAAGAAGCTGTTGTCAGTGAAATCAATTATGCATCAATTCCATGCATATATAATATGATTAATTCATTTACTATATCAATTATAAAGCTATTCAAGATGATATTCCTATTCTAACCCAAGAAGCTGTTGTCAGTGAAATCAATTATGCATCAATTCCATGTAAAATTCAATATAAATAATATTCATTATATCAATTTAATTGCAATGACATTCAAAATTTATTTTCTTTTTAAATAAATCAATCACCATTCAATTTTCAAGATTTATTTTTTTTAAAAAAATCAATTTATAAATTAATAAAATCAAAATATAATAATGACTTTTTATATTCTAATAAGTATTTGTATATTAATGATAAATTAATATATTATAAATGCCATACAAAACATTGTAAAGGGAGGGGGATTTTAAATACTTATTTTATAATGACACAAAAGCATATTGATCATAATGATGAAGAAATATATAATACACTCATCACGATCAATATGCTTAAAACAGAACTTCTGTTAAATAAAAATATTAGTATTAGAAAGACATACAGAAAGGTTATGAGAGACAGAAAACTCGATCCTTTCTGTATGCAAAACCCCAAAACGTTACCTACCTTTTTATCAGTTAAATCCATTATGGGACGTGTTATTCAATTAACACGACCCCCCCTTCCCCTTTCAAATGGTGATATTATATTAACCCAACAGCACACAATTACCATGACTGGAACTAATTTTTTAGTTCATAGTTGTGATGATAAAAAATTGTTAATATTTTCTACAAGATCTCTTCTTTCACGCCTTTGTTTGGCTGAAAAAATTTTTTTGGATGGAACTTTCTATTCCTCCCCTAAATTATTTTATCAATTTTATACTATTAATATTTTAATTAACCATACCTTAATTGTATGTGTTTATATATTATTACCTATAAATACAAAAATACTTATATAAATATGTTTAATTTATTAAAAAATTATTGTTTAACTTTAGGTTTAAATTTTTCCCCAAAATATGCCACCATTGATTTTGAAATTGGCGTATATTTAGCCTTAAAGAATGTTTTTCCAAACATTCTTGTCAAAGGCTGTTATTTCCATTTTTGTCAATGTATCGTTAGGCGCATTCAGCAATGTGGTCTGACCATGATAAATATACAAAATAATGATGTAAAAAAATTTTTCCGTATAATTATGGCTATTCCGTTTTTATTAGAGCGGGATGTGCCATATATTATGAATGAACTAAAAATACAAGCTGATTCTTTTGGGTTGTATTCTATATACAACTTTTTAGATTATTTTGAAAATACTTGGATTAATAGTAATGCAAGATTTAACTACCAAATGTGGAATACATTTGATGTTAGAGGTGAAAGGACAAATAATTATGTCGAAGGTTTCCACAGATCTTTGAAAGAATATTTTCCTTACTCTCATCCTGACATTTATCTTTTTATTATAAAAATTATAGAACAGGACATGGACCTTAAATTATTACAATTAGATGATGGAAGGAAAGTTACAGAGAGAAGAAAAATATATTACAAAATAGACGATAAAATTAGGGAAAATATATTTCTTTATTGTGGGTATATATATACTCCTATGGAATATTTAGAAAAAATATCAAGATATTTATATTCAAAAAAATCTAATCACATTTAAGTTTTTTTAAAACTACAATGTCTACTTTTGCCATATATTCTTTTTTCACGATTTTTCCTCCGTCATGTAATTATATTAATTGTTCAATAATTTTCATGTTGTCAATAAAATAACAGCTATTAGTCTAAGTATTTATATTTTAGTCGGGTCATACAGAAGTGGTATAAGCCAATTACAATATTTATGGTCGTTCTTACATTTATAGCCTAATTTTATATTGTATTTATCCACAATTTTTGTGATTTTTTATTTATTTATTAAGTTATGTATTGCATTTATGCGCATTTTTTATCCAATTATTTTTTTCTGTATTTAACGTTATTCGAATATTTATACTAAATGATACCCTTATAAATAATGTATTATAAGATTATATATTTATTTGTGAAATTAATATTATTTAATAAAATAAAAATATATCCTTTAATGCTAATAAATGTGTAACATTGCAATAAGTATTAATCCAACGACAAAAAATTTATTCAGGGATTTCCTTCTAAGTTAGGTAACTTATATATACTAATAGAATCTCAAAAAAATTAATAGATATGAGGAAATCTGATGATTATATAAATAAGTATAAATCCAACGATAAAAAAGTTATTCAGGGATTTCCTACTAAGTTAGGTAACTTATATATACTAATAGAATCTCAAAAAAATTAAAAGATGTGAGGAAATCTGATGATTATATAAATAAGTATAAATCCAACGATAAAAAATTTATCTAGGGATTTCTTAGTAAGTTAAGTAATTAATATATACCAATTAATCATAAAGCAATATATTATATAAACCAATAATATTTCTATATCTAAATATATTATAAATAATTATAATTAAATTTATATATGATGAAATTATATTCAATATATAATTAAATTAATATATAAAATATATTATAGTAACTATGTTAATAATATTAACTATTATATTAAATTTAAATATATTGTTTACATTATATTAAATACTACAAACAATCATATATTTAATTATTTTATATATCAATTAATTAAATATTTAAATATATTGATTACATTATATTAAATTTTTTATATATCAATTAATTAATTAATATTTAAATTGTATTATTTACTTTATTAAATTACAAATTTCTAATAATTTGTTATTAATTTTATATTAATTTAAATTATAAAATCTGTCTCATTTGTAATAGCCGATTGAAATTTATTGGCGGCCATGTTTTAATTTTATATTTTAAAATCTCTCGCTTCAACCTTTAGGGGCCATATTGGTCGCCATTTTAGCTTATTTGTCTTTTTGATACTTTTTAATATTCGAGACAGCGGGCCCAAATCTTTAAAATCTCTCGCTTCAACCTTTAGGGGCCATATTGGTCGCCATTTTAGCTTATTTGTCTTTTTGATATTTTTTAATATTCGTGACAGCGGGCCCAAATCAAATATTCATATTGTTTGGCTTAAACATCTAAACATAAGTTAATTTTTAAAGAATTCTAGCTAAAAATTTACATTATGATATTAATAAAAAAGTAATATATAACTTAGAAATCCAGAATGGCATCCTCTCCAATATTTTTCTTAAATAATAAATGTAAAGTTCTCTCAATTTTAAAGTTGTGATCCTGAATCTTAAAAATAGAGGTATTTCTTTTTTTTTAAATATAAAGTTAATGTTTAATCTTCAGATTCTCAATAATATATATATTATAAAAAATATGTTATATTATTAAAGAAATACAATATGAATTTAATATTTTAATCAGTTGTGCTAATTGGATCATATTGATTTAATAGATTAGGATAAATTATGTATTGCAAATAAAAAATTATTTTTTAAATTAAAACATTTCTAAGACTTCAGATAAATTTAGCTTAATCTTACCTATTTATTTTTTGAAGAATTTCATAACTTAATATTATGAGATTATTAATCTTATGATGAAAATCAATAATTGTTTATTATAAATTAATAAATAGAAATAATATTCATGAATTACAAAAAGGATTTATAGATATTATTTATATTTAAATATATATAGTTACAATATATATCTAATATCATTTAAATTAAAAAAGATTATATAGATATATTTATTGTCCTTTAAATAGAATGGTTTTGGTCAGCTTCTGACGAATGTTGGTATTTTCATTTTTATTTTGTTTATCTGCAAAATGATAAAATCTTATGTTTATGTAACGTTCAACTATTAATCTAATTAATTTTTGATAATGGCTAGATGTTTCTTCTTGATCTAGCATGTGATCAACCAGATTATCAAAAATATTTATTTCTATCACTTTTGAAATCACAAAAGATACTATTCGTTTAAATATACAAGGCCTATTAATTTGATTATTATGTTCAAATGTACGGAAACCACTTTCAGCATATTGGCATAATCTAGATACATCTCTGGAAGGAATTATTAATCCCTGATTGTTTTTAATTTTAATTAAATTATAGCTCTCTTGATCTTTACAATTTTTAACAATCATTGCAGAAATACATATATAACACTTTACCTTATTTTCGGATATAAGTTTACGTGTTATATATTCTGATATATAAGTTGCGATGTTATCAACGAATGGCGATAATTTTTGGATACCTGGAACATCTATAAAAGAAAAATCTATAGCTTGTATATTGTCATCATCATTATCATTATCTTGATAATCTCCACAAAAAAGATTTGTATTATCAAGTGGAATACAATTACCTGTGCATAAGGCTCCCAACTTTGCTATCATAACGCCTCTTATAGCTGATCGTAATTGATAGGCAGAAGGGTTATTATTAAAACCTCTTCTGCTTCGTAAACAGCTAAAGAGGAGCTCTAGATGATCTTGAGATGTTTTGTAGGTTAAAAGATATCTAAAATATGAAAAGCAATAAATATACAAAATATATATAATGCTAAATAAAATACTTGAGTTTGGGGTTAGGTCCTAATAATAATTCCCTCCCAATTCCCAAAATGCTTTTCATTGACAAGATTAAGCCTATAATGCAGACTTTTTTTTTGATCTATAAACGTATTTTCCACTTTCAAACTTTAAGGATTTTAAAGTTGTAATCCACATCTCAAAAAAATTTTCATAATAAGAAAGTGAATTTGTAGTTAGTGGTTTTTTAAACCCTTTAGCAACTATGTTCCGTGTATTTAAAAAGTCAAACATTCTATAAAAATATTATTTAAAATATATTTTAATACTGATCAATCATTTTAATAAAGTCAACTGTGCTCTCACAATTTTCAAACCCATCAATCTTTAGCTCTTGTGCCAAAAGAATACCTTTTGCCACTGAGCTACTAAAAACTTGTACAGCAAGTTTAACCTTTAAAAAAAATATAAGTATTGTAGTATTTTTAATTGTACTTTCATTTTTTGTTTGTGATAGTCAATATGAGATTTATTAATTTTATTAGCAGCACGAAGTCCTTCTTTATCTTGTAAATTGTGAAGATTAGCTATATATTTCCAATTTATTATCTATTAATTTATAAAAATATATATTTTTATAGTAATTTAATTACTGATCCATTATTATAAATTAAAATTTTTTTATCACCGAGAAGATTTCTCAACAACTTAATCATGTGGCATACGTCCAACATAATGTAGACTTTTTCATCAAAATTTAATGGGTGAGTAAAATAGGGTATACATAGATCAGGATCTATAGATGCACCAAGTAGTTGGTACATTTTTATATTAGCCGCCAAACCATCACATACTATAACTTTACAGGAAGTGCCTGTATCATGTAATAAATGAAGAGCATTAGTGACTATATTAGCAAGCAAATCTCCAGTAGTATTTGATACTAAGAAGTATCCTATGGGAATTTTCCATGTACCATTAAGACATGTTGCCATAAGAAAAAGAGCCTGTTTGGCTTTAGGAAGAGAATCAGATGGTTTGATTTCATTGCCAATCAACATATCCATGGTACTCCTTTTTGTCCCATTGTACAATATGACGAATGGACATTTCATCAAGGCTTAATGTGGTGAATAATTTTACTTTCGAATCAGATTGAAATCTTTTAATTCTATCAAAAGAAGCATCGAGAAAACCTAAAATCAAATTATTAATATTTTAATTTATAAAATATAAACCTGGCCTTATTTTAATTTGTTGGCTCCAGGTTCTCAATGTAGATTCTGATGGTAGGCAAAATTGATCCCTTAAGTATTTATATGCTTTTGGAGAATAAAAATGAACAGTGGAGGCAAACTGTTTCATTTCTTGTGAAAATTTTAATCTCCGTGGATTTTTTATGCCTCCACTGTGTAATTGGGTTTTGATAAAAGCTAAAGGGATGCCTGTAAAATTTTTTCCAATTGATCCTCCCCTTCACCACATATTAAATTTTTATTCTTCAATTGTTTAATAATTGATTTTAAATCGATAATCTTCTTATTTCTTATAGTTTCCCTCTTATAAGAGGCACTCATTTTTTTTCTTAATTTTAAAATATATTTATCTTGATATTTGATCTTTCTTGATAAGAATGATAAATTGGCTGTATATATATGATCATTGGCTATTGTTTGTGAAGCATATTTTCTCTTAATTAAAATATAGACAAATAAAAAATCTCACAAGAATTTTAATAAATAGGGCTTACATGACTAGCAGGTTTCTCCAAATCTACATTTTCAAGAATATTAATAGTGTCAATTGTTTTTGAAACATTCTTATAAAAATATGTTTTATAATATAAATATTGTAATAAATATTAAAATATAGACAAATAATAAATCTCACAAGAATTTTAATAAATAGGGCTTACATGACTAGCAGGTTTCTCCAAATCTACATCTTCAAGAATATTAATAGTGTCAATTGTTTTTGAAACATTCTTATAAAAATATGTTTTATAATATAAATATTGTAATAAATATTAAAATATAGACAAATAATAAATCTCACAAGAATTTTAATAAATAGGGCTTACATGACTAGCAGGTTTCTCCAAATCTACATCTTCAAGAATATTAATAGTGTCAATTGTTTTTGAAACATTCTTATAAAAATATGTTTTATAATATAAATATTGTAATAAATTAAAATATAGACAAATAATAAATCTCACAAGAATTTTAATAAATAGGGCTTACATGACTAGCAGGTTTCTCCAAATCTACATCTTCAAGAATATTTAAAGTGTCACTTGTTTTTGGAAAATATTTTCTCTAAAAAAATATTTTTTTTAAATAAAAAGGTTATTATTATTTTTTGAAGTAATATTATTTAACCTTTCTGGTAAAGGTATAGTTATTAGCAGCATAGTTATGATCAATTTTTTTTATAGAGTTTGATATTGTAATAGTATTATTCAGATTATTTGTTATCTTTGAAGAATATTTCATAATAAATATATATATGAATATTTTATCATCTTTGGAAATAAGATATTATGTTTTTCGACATAAAGGGAACTCATTTAAAAAAATATTAACATTAGTGTAAAAAGTGATATTTTTTATTTAAAACTTAAAACACTCTTATAAGGAGATCAAAGTTTTTGAGTACTTAATCCTATATGTTTTACCTCCTAATGACTATGTCTCATGGGTTAGGAAAATAAAATATTTATATTATAATCATACATCCTGAAGAGGAATGGGTATTTTGAAAATGGTAGGTATAGATCCTTCCTTTAAACTTCGTAGCCCTGTAACAGATGGAATAAAACTATCAATGGTGAAATGATCACCACATATTTTGGAATATTTAGTGGGGTTGAAGTTTTTTCTATTGATTGCCTTTAACCATTTTGATAATAAGATATGATTCTTTAGAGGGAATCTGGAGATAAATTTAATATTCAAATATTCTTTATACATATAAATAATAAATCTACCTATGAAAAGATTTTCTATCATTACTAGATTTTGAATTGCAAGATATTGCACAACAAAAACTCATCTAATTCTTACATAAATGAAAAACAAACCATTAACAAATATCAATCATAAATTATTAATATACTTGGAAAATATGAGTGGCAAATATCTTCAAATATTGAAAAATCTTTTTAAAATAACATATTTACAAATAACATCAATCTTAATCATAAAATTAGGATAATATATATTTGTTTTTTTAATTCCAAAAAATTAGAAAATATATAGCAGCTTTTTACATGAGAATAATTACTTATAGGTTACCAAAATGGCGTCCCCAGCTGATTTGTATTGATGTACACTTTTAATGAATGAATCGTCAGTCTAGGTATTATTATATGTCATTGGTCCGATCCGTTTGTCTGTCTTTTGTCATTATACCATTTCGCTTCAAAATTTCGAAATATTTCCTAGAAAAAGTCTTTACTTCAATATTGAATTTGTGTTTATCTCCTTAAAGGAAAAGGTAATTGTTTTAATTAAAATTTTTACATATTAATATTTTAAAGTATTTACTTCAATACTGTTATTGTGGCAATCTCATTTACATCAATATTGTATATCTGTTTATCTCCTTAAAGGAAAAGGTAATTGTTTTAATTAAAATTTTTACATATTAATATTTTAAAGTATTTACTTCAATACTGTTATTTTGGCAATCTCATTTACATCAATATTGTATATCTGTTTATCTCCTTAAAGGAAAAGGTAATTGTTTTAATTAAAATTTTTACATATTAATATTTTAAAGTATTTACTTCAATACTGTTATTGTGACAATCTCATTTACATCAATATTGTATATCTGTTTATCTCCTTAAAGGAAAAGGTAATTGTTTTAATTAAAATTTTTACATATTAATATTTTAAAGTATTTACTTCAATACTGTTATTTTGGCAATCTCATTTACATCAATATTGTATATCTGTTTATCTCCTTAAAGAAGGTAATTGTTTTAATTAAAATTTTTACATATTAATATTTTAAAGTATTTACTTCAATACTGTTATTGTGGCAATCTCATTTACATCAATATTGTATATCTGTTTATCTCCTTAAAGGAAAAGGTAATTGTTTTAATTAAAATTTTTACATATTAATATTTTAAAGTATTTACTTCAATACTGTTATTTTGGCAATCTCATTTACATCAATATTGTATATCTGTTTATCTCCTTAAAGGAAAAGGTAATTGTTTTAATTAAAATTTTTACATATTAATATTTTAAAGTATTTACTTCAATACTGTTATTGTGACAATCTCATTTACATCAATATTGTATATCTGTTTATCTCCTTAAAGGAAAAGGTAATTGTTTTAATTAAAATTTTTACATATTAATATTTTAAAGTATTTACTTCAATACTGTTATTTTGGCAATCTCATTTACATCAATATTGTATATCTGTTTATCTCCTTAAAGAAGGTAATTGTTTTAATTAAAATTTTTACATATTAATATTTTAAAGTATTTACTTCAATACTGTTATTGTGGCAATCTCATTTACATCAATATTGTATATCTGTTTATCTCCTTAAAGGAAAAGGTAATTGTTTTAATTAAAATTTTTACATATTAATATTTTAAAGTATTTACTTCAATACTGTTATTTTGGCAATCTCATTTACATCAATATTGTATATCTGTTTATCTCCTTAAAAGGTAATTGTTTTAATTAAAATTTTTACATATTAATATTTTAAAGTATTTACTTCAATACTGTTATTGTGGCAATCTCATTTACATCAATATTGTATATCTGTTTATCTCCTTAAAGGAAAAGGTAATTGTTTTAATTAAAATTTTTACATATTAATATTTTAAAGTATTTACTTCAATACTGTTATTGTGGCAATCTCATTTACATCAATATTGTATATCTGTTTATCCCCTTAAAGGAAAAGGTAATTGTTTTAATTAAAATTTTTACATATTAATATTTTAAAGTATTTACTTCAATACTGTTATTGTAGCAATCTCATTTACATCAATATTGTATATCTGTTTATCTCCTTAAAGGAAAAGGTAATTGTTTTAATTAAAATTTTTACATATTAATATTTTAAAGTATTTACTTCAATACTGTTATTGTGGCAATCTTAAATAATGATACCAACTTCATACCGAAAGTCCAAATATTATAAATGTAAAATTTATTATATTTGTACTTCTCCAACCTGCCATGGTAGAGGATTTACATTAAATAATGTATTTACTCTGACAGCAGAATGCAATGGTAAATTATTTAATCTGCAAGATTTTAATATACAAGATGTAATTTATTATTTTCTAGATATTTGCAAGTACTTGACTGCAAGAAGAGGAAGTATTTTACAATATAATATGAAAATCAAATTAGTATATTTTTCCTTAAGTATCATTGGGAAGAAATGAAGATAATGTGACTTCTGTGAATATTCATGAACAAGAAGATGGAAGTGCTGTGGGGATTTCTGGGATCCTTGAAGAAGGTCCGGAGTCGATATCCTTGATGATCAATCCTATTCGAGAAGATGCTGATTTTGGTTAATCAAAATTTTTTAATATATTTTCTTTTTAATTTTATCATAGTTAATCAAAATTTTGTTAGTATATTATTTTATCATAATTAATCAAAAATATATTTTTCCTTAAGAATCGATAAGTAGAAATGAAGAGATTGTGACTTCTGTGATTAATCATGAACAAGAAGATGGAGGTGCTGTGGGGATTTCTGGGATCCTTGAAGAAGGTCCGGAGTCGATATCCTCGATGATCAATCCTATTCGAGAAGATGCTGATTTTGGTTAATCAAAATTTTTTAATATATTTTCTTTTTAATTTTATCATAGTTAATCAAAATTTTGTTAGTATATTTTCTTTTTAATTTTATCATAATTAATCAAAAATATATTTTTCCTTAAGAATCGATGGGTAGAAATGAAGAGATTGTGACTTCTGTGATTAATCATGAACAAGATGATGGAGAGGATGATCTCCATGTTTTACCATTTTTGGACGAAAGTTTTATAGATGAAGAAGTTGTAATCGATATCTCCATTTCAGCTGATAGCTCTGTAACTTTACCAATATCAGTTAATAACATTCAATTCTCATATTTAAATGTAGAACAGCCATATAATTTTATTCTTTCCCAAAAAAAACGTAATTTGTTATATTCAAATAAATTTCTATATGTTCATCATAAGTTTGGAATTTTATTTAAATGTAGACTAAGTCATTGTACGGCAAGAGGTACATTATTAAATATGCAGTTTACATTGACACATATTCACAACCATCCTTCTGAATCTGAGGAAGAGCATTATGCAATTTTAGTAACTATGAATAAACTTAAAGAACAAATTCGAGCGTACCCCTATCAAAGCAAACGTAAAACATATAATCAAGTTATGCGTATTAGAAAAATGGATCCTCTCGTTCAACTCTATTCTAATGCTCTACCAACATTTCTATCTGTCAAAACTATTATGAATCGTGTTATTAAATCATTGAGACCACCTTTGCCTCTTATAAATTCTGATATCCGATTATACGGGGATTATAAATTAACACTTGATAATAAGACTATTTTAATTTGTAATGAAAATAATGAATTATTAATATTTTCTACACATGAACTACTTGAAAGTCTCTGTAATGCCGACCAAATTTAGATGGACGGCACATTTTTTTCGTGTCCTATATTATTTAAGCAATTATACACTATTCATATAATGATTAATCATACAATAATTCCTTGCGCATATATATTATTGCCAAATAAAAATAAAGAAACGTATCTAAAAATGTTGAATCTTTTAAAAAACTATTGCCGATCTATAGGTTTTTCCTTTTCTCCTTCTAAAGCACTTATAGATTTCGAAATGGGAGCACTTACAGCACTCGAAGAAATTTTTCCAACCATTTCTGTCAAGGGATGCTACTTTCATTATTGTCAATGTATTTTAAGACGAATACAGGGTAATAGGTTGACAGCATATAGTCGTCTTAATCCTGATTTTAAGAGATTTTATCGCAGACTAATGGCGATACCTTTCTTAACCGAAATCGACATACCATTGGTACTGTCAGAATTAAATAATGAAGTAGAGGCCTTTAATTTAGATCCAATAAGAGATCTCTTTACATACTTTAAAAGTACTTGGATTAACCCAAACGCTAAATTTAAATATAAGATGTGGAACATGTATGATGTTCAAGGTGTTAGAACAAATAACCATGTTGAGGGATTTCATCGTTCTTTAAAAGAGTATATAACATATTCTCATCCTAATTTATATCTTTTTATTGATATATTAAAACAAATACAACAAGATATGGATATAAAATTTATCCAATTGCGTAATGGGAAAAAAGTTACCGAAAGAAAAAAAAATACTGTATAATAGACGAGAAAATCAGACAAGAAACATTTTTATATTACACTACTTATACACCAATGCAGAATTTAGATAAAATATCAAGATATTTAATATCGAAAAAAAATAATGATATACCTGCTGACTAGATTATTTTTCATTTAATTTTTTTTTTCGATATTAAATATCTTATCCAAGATATGCGAAAATAAAGATTTTAATTCACAGAAATATCTTCGTAGAATATTTGATTTTTTGACTTTCTAAATACTACTAAGGTGTATAGGTAGTGTAATATAAAAATATTTCTTGTCTATTTTGCAGTATTTTTTTTTCTCTCGGTAACTTTTTTCCCATTTATTTGTTTTAACATATCAATAAAAATATATAAATTAGGATAAGTAACAATAAGTAATATACACTTATAGAACGATGAAATCCTTCAACATGGTTATTTGTTCTTACACCTTGAACATCATACATGTTCCACATCTTATATTTAAATTTAGCGTTTGGGTTAATCCAAGTACTTTTAAAGTATGTAAAGAGATCTCTTATGGGATCTAAATTAAAGGCCTCTACTTCATTATTTAATTCTGACAATACCAATGGTATGTCGATTTCGGTTAAGAAAGGTATCGCCATTAGTCTGCGATAAAATCTCTTAAAATCAGGATTAAGAATTCTATAAGCTGTCAACCTATTACCCTGTATTCGTTTTAAAATACATTGACCATAATGAAAATAGCAGGTTGGAAATATTTATTCGAGTTTGTAAGTACTCTCATTTAAAAATCTATAATGGCTTGGAGAAAAGAAAATACCTATAGATCGACAATGGTTATTTTTAGAATTCTTTATTTTTATTTGGCAATAATATATACGCGCAAAGAATTATTGTATGAATAGTGTATAATTGCTTAAATAATATAGGACACGAAAAAAATGTGCCGCCCATCAAAATTTGGTCGGCATTACAGAGACTTTCAAGTAGTTCATGTGTAGAAAATATTAATAATTTATTATTTTCATTACAAATTAAAAAAAGTCTTATTATCAAGTATTAATTTATAATCGGATATCAGAATTTATGAAAGGCAAAGGTGGTCTCAATGATTTAATAACACGATTCATAATAGTTTTGACAGATAGAAATGTTGGTAGAGCATTAGAATAGAGTTGAACGAGAGGATCCATTTTTCTAATACGCATAACTTGATTATATGTTTTGATAGTTGTAAGCTCTAATTTGTTCTTTAAGTTTATTCATAGTTACTAAAATATAATTCTCTTCTTAATATTCATCAGGCTGGTTGTGAATATGTGTCAATGTAAACTTCATATTTAATAATATTCCGATAATAGTTTTCACAGAAAGAAATGTTGTTATAGCATTGAAATGGAGTTGAACACTTTTGCTTAGATAAAGTATGTTAGATATTAACTTGCATATTCACATTCAACAGATTCAATTGTTATGCATATATTTTTATTAAAAATCGTAAAAAACGTTAAATTATAAAGGTTGAAATTATTATTTTTGGGGAAAAGTAAAATTATATGACTTGAATCGATATTTACATTGTGGATGTATGTTGTTTTATTTGTGAGGAAAAGATTGGTGAAATCGATTACATCTTTTTCATCCATAAAATTTTTGTCTAGTTTTTTTCAATATGTAATAGTTCGACAATTAATATTTACATTACAAATAGAATCTGAATGTCATATTATTTATAATTAAATATTATATTTTATTATAGGATATTTGTAGCTTTTTAATTTTTTGTCATATAAATTGAGAATTTTTGAAAATATATTTTAAAATAAAACTTTATTATTCATATTTTTTGTATCATGTCTAAATATATGGAAGGAGATAATTTATAAAAGAAATGTAGAATATAAATATAATCATTATTATATTCATAAATCAATTTCACATTTTTAACTTAAAATAATCGATTAATTAATTATTAGACTTTTCACATGTCTTGGTCAATAATAGGTATAAAAATTATAAAATCTGATTACTTTAAAAAATATAGACTTAGAATTTAAATAAATATGTAATTGAAACTTACCTAATCTTAACAATTTAATAGATTAGAAATAATTAAACACTTTTGATTTAGATTTTATTAAAAAATAATTACTTGTGATTTGCTGGATAATGTTAACTTTTCAAAATTTAGTTATCCACAGTTAAAGATCTTGATAAATATATGCACATTTCACTATCAATGTAAAGTTTAACATAGCTTCGAATCTGAAGGGTTCAGAAATTTAAAATGGTTTGGTTGGATATTTTCAGAAGACAAAGCCTAAAGACCTAGAATACAATAGAAATGACAATTTATTACAAATAAGTAACATGGACTTAAAACATAAACACCACAATAAATTTTAAATATATGCGTAGTTAAGGATTCCATCTGGTAATATCTATAATCAGTGTCTACATGGCCGGGGTGGGTAGGAGACATAGCCTCCAAATTATTCAACCCTAGAACTCGAGGGCAATGCAATATTAAATTTAATATATATTTTTTTATATAAGTAAAATCATCAAAATTTTTCATTCGATTATTTTTAGATTTAAAAAAATGCGTCTAAAAGATTTTCAATAATATTATTCCAAAAAAATCATCGATAGTTGGTGTCTTTTTTGATGTGTCTAAAATTATAATAATAATAGTTAAAATTATACCTAAAACGAATTATTTGTTATAAGATATTCTATTTGATTAGATTCGTATTTTACGAATACGAATAACACAATTTCGATTGAAAAATTCTAATAGGAAAATATATTATTCGATCGAATAATTCGAGATTATTCGATTAAAATAATTTATTAATAATATATTATTAGTAGGAATTATTTACAATTATTCCTATTTAATAAAATTTCCTAGGAAAAATGAAGAAACATTTTATATTTCTAAATGTTGTTAACGGCTGTTTTTATTCGAATAATTCATAATACAAAATTAACCTCCGAAAATTGTTTTATGATGGACGAAGAAAGTATTTATTTATATGTAATTTATAACTCATATACAATTTTAAATAACTAGCTATCCCGTTAAGAATGACGGGCGAACCAGATATTTTTTCTTTAAAAATTTGTTGTTGGTAGTGTTGTTAAAACGCCGCGAGTCGCGACCCCGACCCAAAGCTCGGGTCGTTTTATTCGACTCCGACTCAATGTTTGGGTCGTTTTTTTCGACTTTGACCCGAGTTCAAGCCGAAAAAAACGACTTCGACCCAAAATATGGGTCGTTTTTTTCGACTTCGACCCAAGCCCAAGCCGAAAAAAACGACCTCGACCCAAAATATGGGTCGTTTTTTACGACTCCGACTCAAAATTTGGGTTGTATTTTTCGACTCAAACTTGAAATTTGGGTCGTATTTTTCGACTCAAACTTGAAGTTAGGGTCGTATTTTTCGACTCCAACTTGAAGTTTAGATCGTATTTTTCGACTCCAACTCAAAGTTTGGGTCGTTTTTCTGACTCAGACTCAAACATCGGGTCGTTTTATTCAATCCGACCCAAAATATGGATCGTTTTTTTTAAAGACGCCTTAAAGTTATGGTTGCTTTTTTTCACCTAACCAAATATCTAGATCATTTTTTTCGACCAAAAGTCAAATAACATTTAGTAGATATTAATATTATAGGCGGGAAAGTTTCTTAAAGCTTCTTTAAATTATAACGCTCTGATTTAACTATTCCATCTTAGTTATTTTTTAAAATTTTTAGGTAAAGATGTACCATAGAAAAGAGCCATTTGTTATGATGGTTATTTTTGAACTTTTTTGAGTTTTTTTTTATAGCAAATTGCTAAAAATATATATTCTGAACATGTTAAATTAAAAATTCAGTGAGGATGTATCATAGATAGGTGACAATTATCATAATCGTTATTTTTGAACTTTTTTCAATTTTTTTAAAGGAAATAGCTAAAAATAAATATTCTAAACATGTTAAATTTAAAATTCAGTGAGGATATATCATATATTGGTGACAATTGTCATAATCGCTATTTTTGAACTTTTTCAAATTTTTTTAAAGGAAATAGCTAAAAATATATATTCTAAACATGTTAAATTTAAAATTCAGTGAGGATGTATCATAGATAGGTGACAATTGTCATAATCTTTATTTTTGAACTTTTTTCAATTTTTTTAAAGGAAATAGCTAAAAATATATATTCTAAACATGTTAAATTAAAAATTCAGTGAGGATGTATCATAGATAGGTGACAATTGTCATAATCGTTATTTTTGAACTTTTTTCAATTTTTTTAAAGGAAATAGCTAAAAATATATATTCTAAACATGTTAAATTTAAAATTCAGTGAGGATGAATCATAGATAGGTGACAATTGTCATAATTGTTATTTTTGAACTTTTTTTAATTTTTTTAAAGGAAATAGCTAAAAATATATATTCTAAACATGTTAAATTTAAAATTCAGTGAGGATGTATCATAGATAGGTGACAATTGTCATAATCGCTATTTTTGAACTTTTTCAAATTTTTTTAAAGGAAATAGCTAAAAATATATATTCTAAACATGTTAAATTAAAAATTCAGTGAGGATGTATCATAGATAGGTGACATTTGTCATATTCGTTATTTTTGAACCTTTTTTAATTTTTTAAAGGAAATAGCTAAAAATATATATTCTAAACATGTTAAATTAAAAATTCAGTGAGGATGTATCATAGATAGGTGACAATTGTCATAATCTTTATTTTTGAACTTTTTTCAATTTTTTTAAAGGAAATAGCTAAAAATATATATTCTAAACATGTTAAATTTAAAATTCAGTTAGGATGTATCATAGATAGGTGACAATTGTCATAATCGCTATTTTTGAACTTTTTCAAATTTTTTTAAAGGAAATAGCTAAAAAAATATATCCTAAACATGTTAAATTAAAATATCAGTGAGGATGTATCACAGATAAGGGACAAAAAATGGTTATTATATATACGAGTAGTTAGGTACATAATAATCCTTAAGTGATAAAATGAGATGCTAATATATTTCTTGTAATTTTAATTTATAATAAAATTCTTAAATATGTTATTGTCATAGACTGGGTTAGAAAATCAACTATCACATAAACTCATCTATGTTTTATTCATATTATATTTTTAAGTTTGAGGATATAAAAATATTTCCTCTTTGAAGTTACTAGTTAGGATAAAATTTACTTGGTACATCTTACAATGATATTTATACCTTGTTTTTTTTTTCGAGAATAAATTTTATGCGATATCTCATGAAGGAAATTACATATCATTGTACAGAGAATTAACTTTGTATATATTATCTGCACCCATATCTTTTATATCAATCTCTATCGATGACATTTTAAATTATATTGGAAACTAGATTGTGTAGATTTCTAAATATTAATTTAAAATAAGATGCTAGAATTAATTATAGATATATCTTAATAATTTGTATATGCATTTATTATTTAAAATCTCTCGTTTTAACCCTATTTAGCAAGAAAAATATTGACTAATCCTGAAAATTGGACAACTTTTATTAATAAAATTTATGTTACTCTCTAAAATTGAATTATAATTTTAAAAACAAAAAATGAATAAAAAATAAATTAAAATTTAATTTGGCTACCCTCAAAAATAATAAAAAAAATTTGGAAAGTTAAAAAAAATGATTATTAATCATATCCCTATCCCTAACAATGAAGAAAAGAAAAAATCTCAACAAATTTGCCGTCTAGCTGGTGCCACGCCAAGTAAAATAAAATATCTTTTTTAATTTTAGAATTTAAATAGTCACTTCACTTCCATATGGAATTTTTAAACTAATAAAATACTTGTAATTTTTTTTACAAGTATTTGCGATTCCATATGCATTTTTTTAATATAAAATATGAATTTTTTTAAATATAATTTAGTAATTTAGGCGAGCCATATTTTTCAAAAATGTAGTGTTAAGTCGAGTTTTTTTAAGTCGTACTGTAATTCTGAGCGTTTTCCGTACTTTTGCATGATGGCTAAAGATTTTTTGTCGCAGCAAAGTACATCCGTTGAGAGCGAGCGTGTCTTCTCAAGAGGGGTGGACACCGTAACAAATAAAATAAATCGCATGGCCTCCGAAACACTTAAACAGTGTTTATGTTTAAATTCATGGGATATCAATATCATGAATAATAAATTTTATACATGATTTTTATATCTATATATATTGTTAAATTAAATTTTTTGTACATTAATAAATATATATAATTTAAATAAAAATATTTAAACTATAAATGTATCAAATATTTAAATGTTTTGAGCTTAGTGTTCTTGTTTCAGGCTGTTGTTTTTTATGAATACTGGAGAATATTAGTGTTTTAATATTATTTGACTTTAAATTGATAACTAAAATAGTTTTTGATATTAAGATTTAGAATTTTGAACACTTGAGAAAAATTACACATTAAAATTAATACTGGGATTAACTTTGAACCATGTTATAAAGCGCTTACTTTTTTTCAGGCGTTAATTATTCACTATTTTATTAAGTAGAATATTATAAGAGCAATTTTTCTCATAGATTATATAAAGGTATAGATATCTATTATCAATTACAGAATTAGTCAATATTTTTCTTGCTAAATAGGCTT